CTCCTAGCATCAATATATGTTTTTTCTCGAAATACTCATATCTGCATGCTGCAATACTACAAGCTGGCCTGTGTGGGGTAATCTTTCATGGTAACTTCCCAATTATTGCAATTATTCTGTTGGTTAATGCACGAAATGTTTGCTTAGGGAGTTTCATGGGCTTTTAGGGGCTTATCATTTTCATGTTTTTATTTCAAAACAAAATTCATTTTTCATATGTGGACGTGCTCAAATTATCTCATATCTCTATATGTATTGCTTTCATGGATAAATTTTGAGGTCTAATGCTTGGCAGGTGCTAGATGAGTATCAGAAGAATTTTGGTGATTCATGGAAAGCTGCTCGAGCAGATAGCACTCAACAATGGCCATATTTGAATGAAGCTCTGGTCAAATTTCAGGTTTATATATTGTCTTCCTGGTTGGGTAGTTTTAATTCTAAACAATAGTTCATACCGTCATGAAAAAATGAGTACAATTGCTTAATCACTTGTTTGGATAAGTCTTTTAGTAATTTCTTTTAGTGTTTGAACTCTCTAACATGGTAAACTTAAAGTTTTTGTTCACTTTTCAAATATTCAGGACCCTGCAGAGGCGGACAAGCTACTGAAAATTCAAAGAGAATTGGATGAAACAAAAATCATTCTTGTACGTGTGTAGCTACAGTGATTTTTTTTTCCTTTATCTTCAAAGCATTTAAATTTTTCTGCATTGATGGTTCACTTTGTTGACTATACTAGTTTTTCCCTTTATGCTATCAAAGAACACTATCCTTTCCCTTTGCTTGTTTATGCATGGACATCCTATGAGTGATTTAACAGAAGACAGAATTTCATGAAAATAAGAACTTGTCTTTTCTGATATTTTAGTATATCAATTTGAATATAAAAGTATTTGGAACTGGAGACAAAGTAAAAGAAGGTCTTTGGAAGAATAGAGCAAGATTAATGAAGGTATCTGTTGTTGGCGGACGAATAATAAAGATTCACTGCTGTGAGCTGAATAAAAATGGGTGATGAGTTGGTGATGTCTGGTCCTTAGCTTTCTAGAATTTTTGTAATATTGGATAGAGGTATCCGTCAAGCTCAACTGCAGGACAATTATCTGATATGTACTTACATAGAGTTTACTCCAGATCTTAATGATTATCGTTTACACTTTATAGCAGTAGTATGGTGATTATGTTGTAAAAATTAAGGATGTGAAAAGCTGGTTCTCCCTTTTTAATCATCACAATGGAGATGGCTGAAATGTGCCGAAGTGATTATGGTCTTGTATTGCAACGTGTTCAGTGTTAAGTTTTAGTTAGCTGTAATGTAAAGTGCGCATCTTCTTTTTGCTCTTGTTTTTCTTTCCTTGCCATACTTTGTTATATTGCTCATAGCCTCTGAGGTTAACCTTTTTGATGAGCCACTCAAAGATGAATTGTGGGATGAACTTTTGCATTTGAGTGCTTTATTATATGTGGTTCTTTTGGTGCAGCATAAAACTATTGATAGTGTTCTCGCTCGAGGTGAGAAGCTGGATAGTCTAGTTGAGAAGAGTTCGGATTTGAGTGCAGCATCACAGGTAAATGAACTGTTAACAGGTTCTGTACCATTTTTTCATTATATATGCTCAGATCTGTAAGTAAATCCCATACTTCCAAATCTCAAACAATGCCTGCCTCTCATCACATCTCAAGTATTTTCTCTAGATATTATTCTTGTTCCTGAACTTTTGTTGTTGGTCAATAAATGCTGTATATCATCAATTCATAATTTCCCTTACGCTTCACAATATATGGAAACTGCTGCTGAGGATATCTCATCAATTAATTTGTGGGACTTGTTGGATTCTTATTTGTCACTGATTTTGGTTATTTGTTACTGTAAATGGAATTATATAATTCCCAAGTGATTTTCTGGTGTCTTCACTTAGTTCCTGCTCTGTCTATGTTAATGGCATGCTCTTCTAAGATTTCCACAATGTCCTTTTTATGCTCTTTTTACTGAAAGTGCACAATTTTTGTATTGCATTATGTTTTTAAGAAATTGGTATCAGATAATTGGGTGACCTCTTATAAACTGTGGCATACCTAGTGGAATGAGTAATGATCTATTTTTGGTGGTTGAAGCAGATGTTCTACAAGCAGGCCAAGAAAACCAACCAGTGCTGTACCATACTGTAAGCTTTGCTTACCTATATTCAATTGTTTGTTCGGAATGAGTTTTCTGATTTAAAAGAGAGAACATTAGATGTTGGGAAAATAATTTATTATCATAATCAATCTACCTAATACTTCTGGCCAGTTTAGTTTCGTGTCTTTAAATATATATGTAAGTATTGTTTGTATAACATATATTTGTATATACTCTTTTTAAATATATTTAAGTTAATTTTGATTTGAGATATGATCGAATTACACGATTTAGTGGATTTGTAATCATTACGATTAGTAACCAAATAGTTTATATATTTGGTGCAAAAAATATTATATAATTTATATTTCTAAATATTATGGTAATTTTCAAGTAATCAGATCAGAACTAATACATCATGGTGGAAAGCCTGATTTCCCCCACAGAGGATGATACATATTTTGTTTGCACAGAATACCTAGCAGCTAAAGCAAGTTATTTCACTATATATTTATATTTATATTTATATCAAAATTTTAAAAATATATTTGTTAATATCATATACTAATTCTTTTTAATAATATAAAAATATAAATATATTTATAAATAAAAAATTAAAATTTTATACATATATAGTGTGTCAGATTCTAACCCACATTTTAACTAGAGAAAAAAGGAAACAGTATCGGATAATGTTCCGAGTATATAATTTTAATGTTTTCGCGAATTTAAAATTTCATACTGCTCTAATTTAGAACTGATTAACCTCGTTAATTAGTATTTAACATCACTTACAATTTTAATTACGAGTCTGTTCAACTATCCAAAAGCTTAGCAAAAATTTAATTGCTTAATGTGTATGACCGACCAATTAGGTTCAATCCTTTAGTTAATAACAATCTTTTTGGAATCGATTTGGAACAGAAACAAATTAATTCAATTCAATCTTCCATCGAAACGCTTAAAAATTTCAAACCCAAATTAATTTTCCTATTTTTTTTTTAAGCGATGAACACCGTCTTTACCTCTACGATTCTAACAGAGCCTTACTATTTTTCAGAAGAAATATTTACAAGTGAGTGAACTACTTAAATTCAAGTATGGAGTTGGAAACCAATAACAACAAAATCGAATTAAACCAGCTTCTGCTTACCCAGAAATATTATTAAAAGAAGAAGAACAAAAAAAAATAAAGAAGACGAGAAGAAATTCCCATTAGAAAGACCCATAAGCCTTTCTGTTGATGATCACACATTCAAATATACAGAAAACATAATACAATACCAACTATATATATATATATATATATACCAAAAATCATGAGCACTGGTTTTTATTTACCAAAAATCGATTTAATCCACCAAATACCCTTAGTGTCCTTCGGCCCTTCATCTCCCTCCGGTGGCGGATCACTCTGTGGTGTCTTGTGAAGTTTGCTCACATCATATCCCTCATCTGTCGCCCTCTGCACCAGCTGATTATATATCTCCTCATCCATATGCGTCTCCCTGCACAATATCTACACCAAACAATATATATATATAATACACACACGTTTATAAGCAATCATTGCATCAATTAATCAAATCATCATCTGAAAAGTTCACATTACCCAGAGATACTTTCTCGCGGGCTGGCCAATCAGAGCGTACCGATAATCATCATCAATATACAACACCCAATAATCTCCAGTAACAGGAATGATCGGCAAGAAAGGCGGAATATAAAACCTAACTTTAAGCTTGGCTTCATCGCTGTTAGGATCAGCCTTATACGCAGTCCCTTCTATATACCCTCTCTTGCCGCCACTCCATGTCTCGTTCAAAACATGCACCGTTCCATCGTCGTTCAAGGTGTATGTAGCTCTGGTATTGACTCCATCTTTGGGCTGAAACCTCGACGGAAACGAAGCTATTTCGTACCACCGTCCCATGTATCTTTTGATATCTAACCCCTTCACCACCTCCATTTCCTTCTTCGCCATGTTAATTCCTGACTTAATTTTGATTTGCACAGGGGTTACAGTCACCGAGAGGAAAAGAGATTTGGGGGGGGGACTTAACTTATGGAGGTTTAGGGTTGTTGATAAATAGATGCATGGAGGAGAGACGTGGAGGGCTGATAGCCAAACACAAATTCAGAACGTGAAATGTCTAAAATCCCCTCAAGAAGATTCTAGGTTTTTCATTTTGTCAAGTATCAAGCAGACAACCTTGGGGAGGAAGCAAACGGGAAAGTTTGCAAGAAAGCAGCAGTTTCTAGTAATTGAGTTTTGTCTGTATATTTTACTTTTTGAAGTTGTTTTAATTTTTTAAAAAAATATATATTTTCTGATACTTTTTAATTAATTTAAATAATAATTCATATGTTATTCAATTATTAATAATGCTTTTAAACAATTAGTAAAAGAGAAGCATATGAAATCTTCATTAATTAAATGATTATTATTTTCTCTTTACAAGGCATAAAGTTCACTTATATGCCAGTATTATCATAATATTAATTATGTTTTCTTCTCATTATGAGATTTGATTATGTTATGATCAAGACGCGAAAACAAAAGCCTATGGGGTCGCTTCTGCAAATGGATAACCAGCACTGAAAACCGTCTTTACATTGGATGGTTTGGTGTTTGATGATCCCTACTTTATTGACCGCAACTTCTGTATTTACTATCGCATTCATTGCTGTTCCTCCAGTAGATATTGATGGTATTCGTGAACCTATTTCTGAATCTCTACTTTATGAAAGCGGCATCCGTTGATGAATAGTTATACAATAACGGTACTTATGAACTAATTGCTCTACACTTCTTACTTGGTGTAGCTTGTTACATGGGTCGTGGTGAAAATTTAGTTTCTGTCTGGGTATGTGTCCGCAGATTGCTATTGCATATTCAGCTCCTGTTACAACCGTTACCGCTGTATGTATAAATAATTATGAATTTTTAAAAGCATGCAGATTTAGAAAAGGAATAACTTAAAGTATTAGCTTGACTCATTATTTTCTATTCACCCATCAAACAAAGCATGCAATGATAGATAGAAAAATTATGGCATACACTTTCATTTACCAACTAAAATGTTATAGAAAGTAAACCTAATTGATGATATACAACTCACACTTCATGTGTGTGTGTGTGTGTATATATATATATTTGAGATTCGAAAGATGTGTTTTGTAAGAATAGAGGAGAACTTAAATCTTTTTCTCTTAATCCAAACAACCTCCTCTCTTTTAAACAAATGTCATATCTTTTTGTCCCATAGAGAAACAGGACTATGTATGTAGAGAGAGAAATTTGAGGGAAAATAAACTTAAAAGTTAAGTTTAGAATATTAACAAAAATCAAGTTTAAGTATACTAATAGTTATAAATAGTTGTTAGATAATTAATTGTTACGGAAATATGTAATTAATGAAAATTAAACTTCATAAGAAAGATACACAAATACCAATAATATAAATTAAACTCATAATATCTTGTAAAGAAAGAAAAATATCAACATTCTACCTAAAGAAATTATGAAAATATAAGTATATATCAAATACAACTTTGAAAATGTCAAAACCAGTTGTTAGTACAATGAATCAACAAACACAATTGGAATGATTAATGAAAAAAAAGGGAGTAGCAATTATAAAGTTGTATTAAATCATATTCATATAGCCCTTTGATTGAAGTAATCTATGTGGAAAATTTATCCTTCCATATTATGAAGAATAGTGAGCATTAGCATTGTAGAAGACGACTCAATAGGAAAAAAAAAAGGATATTCTTTTTCCAATACATGTGGTTTGGTCTTCAAGAAGCTGATAAAACTGTTTTCTTTGCAGTTGGTGCTACCGATGGGTCCGAGAAAAAGTTCAACCAGATTAGCCCTAGCGACGAACCTTCTTTGGCTTCCTCTTGGACTGTTATGAGACCTTCCAGCAATTTTAATGGAAACCCAGATGATGGGTTACCTCGGCTGCAGGAGTCAACAAATCAGGCTGAAAAAACTAGGGATGGGGCTACCACAGTCACTTAAGGCATCCTATTATTTCTGGATCAAAAGGTTTACCTTGTCAAAAATGTAAAGAAGTAGGTCATACTGTAGATAATTGCCCAACTGACAGTGTACATATCTGCAGCAAGAAATTCTAGAGAGGAGATGAACAAAGGTAATAAGGTGAAAGGTGCAATGAAGGTGGTGCGCAATATACCTGGATTTGGAAAGAACAGACTTGATCGGTCAGATGGTTTTTCTGTACCTGGCATGGATGCTCAAGGTCATTTACCAGTTTCAAATAAACTGAAAAATTCGAGTCCTGCTGAAGGAGCACACGAAGTACAGGGGAGTTTTAGTTCTGATTCATACAAACAAGCTACAAATAATGAGAAGCAGCTTGCTGCTCCTTCCAGTGAGACAGGGTTTGCTCCCACATTAGGGGACTCGGATAGTAATGTTCCCTCTGTTGCAAAACAGACTATAAGGGACTGGTCCAGTAATTTCTTTGGCAGCCATACTTCTTATTTTAAATATCTCAGCCATACCAGAGCATGAATTCATCTGGCAGTAAGATTCCTTTCATTCTTCTTGTAAATCTGTTTTCTGTTAATGGAGCATATTGCATTTTTTGTTTTCCTGATCCTTTTCTGGTTCTTTTCTGCTTGATAGCTGGCTGTATGCCACATGTTCAAAAGCATTTCACTTAAGCTTCTATTGTTTGCATCAGGGGACTTTTTGAGGTGCATAGAGGTGGCAAACCCCCGGATTTATATGGTGGAATTCAAGCATATCTATCAACTTTAGCATCACCTAGAGTTCCTGAAGCGGTTAACAAATTTCCTGGAAGAGTTCCCTTGAATGAGGTACCTCGCTTGAGCACATGGCCGGCACAGTTTCATGAAAGTGGTGCGAATGAAGATCACATTGCTCTTTACTTTTTTGCCAAGGATCTCAATAGGTAAATAGATGATGTGCCAGCAAGTAGAATTAGGAACTGCATTTTCATAGAAATAGGACTTCTTCACTATTCTATCCTTAGGACTGCTTTTACTCTGGATCTATTCTTTCCTATTTAATTGTATTTCTTATTTTGATCCTGTTGACTGTTTGGTACCATGATTCTTGCCGTAATAAAATTTTATCAATAAAATTTATAGTAGACAATATATAGACTAGCCTATGAATAAAATTTTTAGACGAGAATATGAAACACGAAAAAAAGAGATTATGGAAGTATGAAACTCCTGAACCTAAACTCCTAATCTCCAAAAAAGAAAAATAAAAACAACAAAGATGAAGCATGAAAAGAAAAAATAAATGAGGTTGAGAAAACAGAGATAAAATAGTCCTGATCTATTGCCAAACATCTACTTATTATCCAATATTCAAAAGCTTCAAACTAGGCTATGTATTATAGTGAAAACTTGGGGGATTAACCAACCAAAAAGCTCCAATAAAAAAAAATGATGAAGTATCCATCCACTTCTGAAAACAGTGCCTATAAAAATGAAGCAACTGAAACAAATCTCACATGGTAGCCTCCACTTCCGGGTCAGTTTCAACAGGTACAGTAGGTGCATTATTGCCTCCACCTCTCAAACGGGAAGATACATTGTCAATGGCTGAGTTGAGTTGGCTGATTTTTGCATTCAGGGTCTGCCTGGTTTTCTGCTTTCTCAGGAAACAGGAGATTTTCCAAATTAACACGCATAATTGAAAAACTAATAATAATTTCTATAAGTTAAAGGAGAGAATGTAGCATGCATTTTTTCCTCAAAATAAAATTACCTCTAACCCTTCATCATAATATATTGGACGCTTGGCCTTCCGAAATCCATATTCATCTTCATTTAACAAGGATCTTCTTATCTAAAATCCATCCACAACAATCAAAGATAAGCCAGGAACTACAATTTCTAACACAAAGTAGAGAGAGTAAAACAAGCAGAGATAGCATCCTCCATAATAGGTAATGTATACAAGTCATGAGTTTTGAAAAAAGCAAACCGGTATAAAATTATCCTAATAAAAAAACAAATGAATTGTTTTTAACAAAATGAAGCAACCATAAAGTCGTATAGTGAAAATTTTTATGTTTAAAAATTCTGCATAAATGGGTAGGATATTATCAAATGCAATAAAATTAAAACATGCTCTTTTGAGAAACTTATACATTTATTCACAGGAAGTTTGGGATAATCCAATGTCAGTAAATGGAATGTGATAGTTACTCCTGCTGCATAGCAAACAGATAATAGTTTATTGGAAAGCATAACAAAGTTGAATCTTCTCCCGGTACAACATAACAAGATAACACCTCAAGCAAAACAATCTATAATGAGCACTATAACAATATATAATTTCAGTAACTTTGCAGACATTCCACAGAACATATAACCTGCTTTCTTCATTAGTAAACCTGCTCTATTGGTTGGTCCTTAACCAGCCTGATTTTGTAAATAGCATCTAACCAGGCTTTCAGGTCTTTCAAGACCTTATGCATCAAAACAGGATATGAGATATAGAATCACCTGTGGAGCAAATATATAAGCCAGTGTCCCAAACACAGCACCACCAAGAAGGAAACCAGCAACAAAATCACTTCCTCCACCTCTATTCCCATCACTGGATTCATCAACAAGTGAAAAACAAAGGAGAGCCTCATCAGAGTATATCGTATGAAACAACAGCAATAGTATTAGCAATCTTGTTTGAAGACGGCTGATGGGAAAACAAAAACAAAAAAAGTAACGCTATTTAAACAAACAATGACAGTAAAAATAATAGCTTAACTTGATGGCATTCAATGCAGTATATAACCCTAAAGCTAATAGAGTTCTTTCTTGTATCAGAAGGGCCAAAGGAAGGAACAGATAGATTACAATGCTCTTATGAGCATTTACAGAAACAATTTGTTGATGTCATCCTGCATATTCAGAATAAACTTACATATGCTGCAATAGTCTTACACAAAAATCTTAAAATATTGCTGATTTCAATTCATAGACTTGTCATATCAAAATTCTCGACTTCTCATATATACTTTTGGGCCATCAAGCCATCTCAAACCATGCAATGTTTAATGCTATTTTAGAACTAAATAAACAATCTCCACGCAAAGATGTAGCTGATGATAACACAAAAATACTTTCAGCAGCTAGCGACATGCAAACATTCACCCCAAAGATAATGCTTCAAAAGAAATTCATCTTCCTAACCCCAATTTCTTGGAAAAAGACCAAGAAAACCAATTCTCCAGTTACATAATTTACAATTAAATCTTAAGCAGATAAGATCAATGTAAGAAAGTTACAATGCAACAACAGAGCTGGAAAAATCAACAGCGGAAAGAATGAAAGAATACTAAAGTAAGACAGTGTTCAACACAAACTTTTTCTACAACAATTATCATTCTTCTACGAACTTGTAATAGTAAATATTAGGATATGTGCAATGCAGGTGATCAATAAATTAAGCAAAAAAAAAAAAAAAGAGATTCCACTTACCAGGAACAGCAACAAAATAGATTTATGAGAATAAATTCAAATTGCTAAATACTTGGTGTTGCAGAAGATATCAATCAGTCAGTGAAGTTGCATAACAAAAATAAATGTAGCACATATGCTTTACGAAAATTTAATATCTTACTTCTATAAATGTTCATCATCAACAAAAAAAAGGATGTAGAACTTAAAATTTTGTCAAAGTCAGTAAATAGAGAAAATAAAGAGGATAATAACAAATGTGCTAAAAAAAAGTATAGAATCATTAACAATTGTTCAGTAAGAATATACATATACACACATATATATAAATTTTGCAATCCAACATGAAAGTAACTGTATGACCTTTTCCTTTTTGAGAAAAAAATAAATATAAGAACTTGCATATAATTTTTTTTGGACTAATGATGTTTTTGAAGAATTGAGGACCAATGGATTGTGGCTGAGCACATATGATGTCTCTTATGAAAACAAAAGACATTATTGTTTACAGAAATTCAATTACCATAAAAACAAAACTCAAGAATTTCAAGGAAAGAAGCTGAGAGTCTCTACTATTGATTAAACAATGTAATAGCTCTTCTAAGTAAAGTGTATAAAAGATTCCAATGGCAACCCCGAATTCTTTGTATGACCTGTATCTATCTCATATATTTATTGTATTTGTTTCTATTTCTTTCTTTCCAGATTTAGGGTAGCATAAACAAAGTTCCATATACACAGATTATTCCCCTCCCCCGCCACTCTCCCTAAAATACAACATAATAAATGAAGAGAAGTGTACAGACTTATACTAATAATGATATCTCACGAGAAATGCCAAAATCATATGCAAATGAGTAAAGTATCAACTAAATATCTACATAGTCACCTCGAGAATTTCTCATTCTTCCTTAATATGGATGAAAACCTTTTCGGTTTAAATTACTCGCAAGCCAAATAAACATTGTGAATCCTTCAAGACCATAAGCAAGTAAGTCTATTATTGAAGTATATAAATCCAAGAATGCAAACAGAAAAGATTTTACATGGCAGCAGGTGTATGGACCAACTTAAGAAAGTTCGCTACATAGTCAACATGCTCAGAATGCCAATAATGATAAATTAATACGAAGTGAAAAGTTATATCACTCAAATTATCCTGTGTTATTTTCTGAGGGCAAGAAAAGCAAAAATATATTGAGAATGGCTGAAAACGAGGAAGACTTAACAACTGATACCAATGTATCAGTTTGAGCATGATACATAGAAATCCTGAATGCAAGTGGACCAGTTACTAGTGACCATCATAATCACCAAAAAAAAGGAGACAGATGTAGTTTACCGGTACTCAGCAGAAACAGAAAATTTGCGGTTGATTGCCACTAGGTTTGATTTCCTTTGAACATTTAGCTGTTGTATCTTGCCAAGTGAAACAGACTTCTTAGAAGCAAGTTCATGTGGCTTTAGATGAGATCCACCTGCACTCAAAGGCTCGTAGGATATAGAATGAGGATACATATCTCGGCATAAGCTATTGAATGAAATAGGAAGACCTCAAGTATAAGAAACTGAAAAAGTAAAATGTAGAAGAGTCCAAACACATATATGATGCCAACCTCCAGTTTTCATTTATTAATAAGACCAGTAACAATTGAGTAAGCTACTAGCTTTCTAAGTGCACACACATAAACTAGATATCATCTTTCAATAAATTGATAGAGCTCACAAGATACGCATAGGAAAAAAAAAATACTTTCGCGATTATAATTATTGTACAAGGGAGGGCAGTAGCACGTGAGATATGGCTTTCTATAACCCCAGTAATTACAGAACCCTATTGTTTTTTTTTTTCTTTTGTAAGCTCATATTATATGTTATTAGATAGTCGCAAATAATCTTTCAAAAAAAAAAAAAAGCTGCCACCGCTGAGAATTTCCAGGAAAAAGAAAAAAGAAACTCGATAGGAAATTGCCGCCCCAGATAATTTGTTATCAATTAAGATATCTTCCACCCACAATCGATCCCATAAAGTCCAAGTCCAACTCAACTTCTGATCTCCGTCCTATATAGATTCTCATCAGAACGTTACATTTTAACATGAGAATATTGCAAAATATTTACATGAATCGTTCTTCAAAGATCCATTTCCAAGTAAAATTGAACATAAACTCATCTACATCCAACTATCCGCAAATAAATAACTCTACAAACTACAAAAAAGGGGGAAAAAGGTACGAATCTCCCATCTCAATAAGATTTTCATTCTTTTTCTTGTTTCCCCCTGGTTACGATGTTCAGGCGTCTACCGATATATCAAACAAGTCTCACAAGCACTTCAGAAATCTTAATTTGTAGAAAAATAGATACAGGTGTGAAACATGTATTCTAAATTTTGCAATATACGTTGAAGATAGTCGAACACAATCATATACGAATATATGCATACATACAACTGCATATGGCGACTCATACCTGAAATGGATGCATTAACATAACAGGAAGCCATAGGAGAGATCCAGAGAGAGAGAGAGAGAGAGAGAGAGAGTGAAGGGTAGAGCGCGAGAGAGCGAAGCCTGATACAGAGAGAGAGCGTTAATGAAGTGAGAGGAAAGAAGAAATGGCAGTAAAGGGGCACACAGCTCTTCGTTTTTTTTTAATTCCGTAACTGCCCTCCATTTTTTTTATTTTCTGAATTTATACATACAATTTTTTTATTCTTGAAATTTATATATTTTATTAATTTAAATAAAGAAAACAAGAATAAATTCAATATAACTATTTTATGAATGTGTTATATGTATGAAATTTCATAAATAAATATATGCATAAAAATACTTATAAATTTAATAATTTTTTTAATAAAAAAGGGTAAATGCATAAAAATACACGGAAATAGCAGGACTTGATTGGTACTAAGAAAGTTAAGAGGGTTATAAATGGAAGAAATTATTCGCATCCAATCAAGTTGCGGCGACCCTTTTTAAGCCATTGTGCTTTGATTAATCCGCCTTGCAGTAAATGCCAATTATATACATACACACACACATTTTATGGAGAGAGAAAAATATCAACTGACCCAATGGGCAAATGTATTAGTTTATTTTCTTACCCAGTCAAATTCATCACTCTTTGTAGTTAAAGAGAATATATTTTTTATATAACCAATTATATAATATCTTATGCTTAAGAATATATTTATCTATTTTCATCACATTCAAATTTTATGATAACTATGAACCAATTGATTTTTCATCTTTATCTTTATAATTATTCAAAATTTACAACATAAAATTTTCTACTATTTAAAAACCGAAAATATTAGTAAATAGGTTATCATATTTTTTCCTTATCTTTCCGAAGACAACAAGAATTATATATGTGGAAAATAATAATACAAGTAATATGACACTTAGTAGATATACGTTTTATAATTAAGTAGCCAATAGTTAACAATAAAATTAAAATACCTTACAATTAAATAGTCAATAATTCATAACAAAATCAAACAATAATTGACAGAGATAAAATTTATTTTATTATGTATTTTTTTTATAAGAGATATATATAGGTGACTACATATAAGTTATAAGTTTTTAATTCTCACTTACTTTTTCAACTCACCAACTCCGTTTCCTTATTGATTTCAACAACATTATAGTATTCCTCTTAAGATAAAACTTTAATACTATTTGTTCATTTTGCATGTTCAAATATGTAGATTTAATTTATAGAGTAACTATCAACCTCTTATAAAAGTGCATGCAAATAACTTTTAATTAAATATGATGAGAGAATATTTTAGTCATATATATATATATATAATTATACGTCTACTTTAACCTCATTATGATCAAACTAAATACAATAATGAGGTTATAATGAATTGATTTTAGTTATGAATCAAACGTAATGTAATTGCAATTCCATTATAATCTTATTTCATTCCCAACAAATAATTATTACATTATAATTTTATCATTTGACATCTCTTTTAAAAAAATACAATGCATATATTTATAAATTTGTCAAGCAGATAGTAAACTATTATTTTTCAAAAATGATAAATCTATTTGTAATCGTATCTGCGCACTATTTATAAGTGGGTTTTTATTCTATTCATAATTTTTTTTCTATCAATTTGAAAAAAAAAAATAGAAGAAGAATTTCTGTCTTGCTCGATTTATATTTCAATGGAGTTTCCAAAAATGTAATATTTGCGACTAAATTTAATAAGAATCCTAAGTTTATTTTAAAACATATAGACCATAGGTAGAAAAGACATGAAATTGTGAACAAAGGACACATAAAGAACTTTCTTTTTGAATTTGTCTGAACTAATTATAAATAAAGTGACCCATAATTTAAATATGCACCTTGGTAGAGTTGCGGCAAGCTCACCCAAAGACGTGTGTGTGTGTGTGTATATATATATATATATATTATATATATATATATATCATAAATCTCCTCCCTTATTTGCTCAAGAAAAAGCAGTTCAATAGTGTTCAGAACCATCCACAACCAATGGAACTCTAAGCAATAAGGACAACATACAAATTTCTTTTCCAATATTGCAGTTTAAATCGTATACTTTTAATTTGACATTTTGGTGAATTGTTGTAATATTTTTTTTATCATTTTAAATAAAAATTTCAATTCTTTTCAGAAAAAAGATATCTCTACATGAACATGGTTGGCCAATAGAGTGAGGACCCCAAATCCTATAAATGAATCCCTAGGCAAGAAAGGAGACGGACGCTTACAAGTAAAACGGGAAGGCTAATAATATAAAGGCATTGCAAAAATATAGTCGGTATACAGCCATGTTCCCTCCGAGATTACCTGGTTAAATGGAGTGCTTTGAGCAAGCACCGCCTATTGACACAATCACATATTCACCTCCAGGTCCTGCAACTTACATATACATGAGATGCCATAACTCATTGAACAGAGATACAACACTTTTGACATTCATAATACCTTACAGAAAATAGAGAGATAAAAGCAACTCTAAACGCCTAACTCACATCCATTAAGAAACATCAAGAGATTGCCAGAACTGCCAGATCTGCAACGAGCAGTTCAATTTGAAAACTGCGCCAAGACCAATAAGAAAAATCAGACAGTAAAATAAGCAAAAAAAGATTAAAGGTTGAAGTAAGACAAAACTCTTAATGATCAACACATTTGTCTGCAAATTTCTACTGCTGTGCCGGCTTTTGGTTCTCTTTATATACAAACAGCCGTAACTATGCACCCCAAAAAAAAGGATAAAGACAAAAAAAAAAACTGAGAAGGGTAAAAAGAGAATTATTAGCAAAGTCCTGTATGGGTTATGCACAGATGGAGGGCCACTACTCCTATAAAGCCCATCAGAAGATCATCTAACATGACCTTGTTACACTTACTGACATTGGCATCCAGGAGGCACAATAATATTACATATTGTGACGATTGCATGGATCTATTTGTCTGGTAGGCTGCCAAAGAGGAGCAGCGAAGTATTCACAGAATGCCTTTCAGGCAGAAGCTGCTCTTTCTTTGAAACAGGTTTCATTGTCCGTTCCGTGTCCGGAAACGGGAAAGAAAGGGAAAGGGAAAGGGAAGCAGAGACTTCCTCCTCCTCTTCCTTAATCTTAACCTTATCTGGAGGCTTGCCCTCATTAGTAGGTTGTTCTGCCATTCCAACAAAGAAAGGCAGGATTCCTTTGTTTGGCAATTTTCTCTCAGCCCCTAAAGCAAGTTCGAGACTTGGCACCGCATCATTAATTTGATCCTCATCCTCTGATGAGAGCTCTTTCAACGGCATAGAGGTGTTCCCCAATTGAAAACCTTTTACATGTTGCGAACACACAGGAAAGAAGTACCTTTCAGCACCCCCGAAGTCTGTGGGGATATCTCTCTCATCACAAGCTTTCTTATATCTTTGTCCACTTGAAGAACCCGGTCTTAAATCACGCAAGTCTGATTCAAAACCATCGCTAAAAGAAGTTATATCTCTAGAGCTATTACATCCATATACTTCACTGAAACCTGTTTTCAGCTTCTTACTCACAGATTCTCCATCTATAAATGCATTCCCTATTTCGTTCCAAGAAGTTTCATGACTTGTGCCAGATGAAGTCTGCGGTTCTGTGAGATCCAGATGTGGCCGCTTCCGATCTCTGGTCTGCCAACAGTTTAGATCTCTCACTAGCGAATTTTCTGCATCTATCTGCCGGTCATCCTCCTCAGAGCTGCTTTCCAATTTAACCATGGTTCCATCATTACCCCTTCTCTCTATCGTATGCTCCTCATTGATATTCACATGCACAACAGCTACCTCTTGGTTACCAACAGGGGGAACCTTTTTAGACGTTCTTTCTAAAGCACTAAAATGAAATCGCGCCTTTTTACCTCCATCTGAACCAGAATTCGTTCCATTTGTCTGAGCAGATGGTCCAGACCCTACTTCCAGTCTAAATGTTGAACAATCATGTTCTTCCTGCCAAAGTTAGAATCATCAAATGTGGTAAATGGGAATCAATATAACATGTACAACCACTAAATCAATTAAACTTTGACTACAGGGGACAAAGTGGCAAAGGCCAATGTTCAGAAAGAACAGCATAGTAAAATCCATCTAATAGTTTATGAATAGATAGTATGCAATTCAATTTATACGGGAGTGGCAAGAGGAAAAAAGATTCCAACCAGATGAATTATGGGCAGAGGGGACAGAGGTGAGCTAGCCAATAACATATGAACTAACATGGCAAAATTGGGGAATGAATGTTTAAACTTTAACCTTTAGTGGAAGAAAAAAAGCAATTTAATTTTTAACTAAAGACCAAATACCAGCTTCTGATGGAGAAAGGGGGAAATAATATAACAAGGATTAATCTGACACTTTCAGCCACAGTGCAAGCAGAAAATAGTAGGAAAACAAAAAAGAAAGTACCAGAGAATGGCTGGTAAATTTCACTTCTGGTCGTGCTTCTGAACCAAGATAAGTCTGCTCAAGGGAAGACACTTGATTATTACCACTGCCATTTGCAGTTAGACCTGTTTTCTCAGGAGCTTTGGATGCCATGGCTTTTGTCGATGATTCTTTTACTCCTTGTTTAGAAGAACAGTGATTCTGAGACAAAACATCAGAGGAGATATCTTTTCCCGTTGACCCAACATCCATACCACGGATACATGGATTCTTGAATGAACTCGAAAAACTTTCTCTCCTTCCTCGGAATACTCCCCACAGGAAAAATAACGTATTCCAACCTGTCCATAGAATTCGGTAAGCTTTTAGAAAATATTGCATTTCACAGTTAAATTTTTAGCACTTAGATCTCAACATGAATTTCAGATAGCTGAGTTACTGAGATGTGGGATGTTGGATGCTCTACAGCACTTGCCCAAAATGTAAAAGCACGATTACAAGTCAACTAACTATCAGATCTTTATCATTAGAACCTGTAAAATATTTTATCCTAGAAAGAAGAGTGATCGCAACAACGGTCTATAAGAAAGGCCACATAACAAAAACATTTGTATCCCCATACAAATTATTTTTAAGTATTCCATAGCCATTATATGAAAAAGTATAAGAAAATTGTTGAACTATATTGATAGAAAGTTAGATTCATGAGAACAATAAATATGTGATCATAAATTAAACTTGTATCAAGAAGAATAAATAACTTACATCCTATTAATTCCCATCAAAGAAAGAGAAAACAGAAGCTACATATCATAATTCATATCAAACTTGTATCAATATCCTTATTCAAATAATTTAACTTTTTTCAAAAATTGCAAGAATTCAGCAACCAGTTCCTAATCATAACTATCTAATTGTTTTTATATTTTGTCTCTATCAAGGATTACTCGCTCCAGTATTTTGGTTCTATTGTACAGGGCCACAATCTTGATAATATAGATGACATTGGTTCTATTGTAGATATTTTCATAGATCTCTAAATTTTTTGTTCATGGATGTCATCCCTTTGGTGCTGACTTATCAATACATCTCATACTTTTATCTCAACATAAATAAATAAATATCTAATTGTTTTAAGACAAACTCAAATACTAATTTAATTAATTCTCAATTTTAAAAACACCCAACAGAATATTTAAAAGTATGTTCGGTTTTTTTTTGCTATCAAAGCACGAGCCTCCTGCTGCGAAGATGAAAATTCAAGTTTCAAAAATATAAAAATAGAACATAATATCATGCAAAAATCAAAGCACATCTTAGTGAGAAACAAACCAATTCAAGCTGATAAATTTACGAGAACCATGGCCCAAAACATACAACAATAGTAAGAAAGAATTTGGTAGCCTAATCCTAGTAATTTGGTGAAAACTTTGTAAAGCTGCACTGCTGTGCTTTATATTTCAAGATTATAAGATGAACTTACCGAAATCTGGAAAGATCATTGCAAGGCAACCATACATATTCTACATCTTGAAAAAGAAAAATGGCTATTCTAGCATGAGCATCAAGTTGTAAACCATTTAATCCTCACTTCTTTTTTTTTTTAATTTGACAGGAGAAAATTTCATTTCCTGCAAAACCGACCACATAGGCAACTCATAATATGCTAAATCTGCTGACTTTGTTTGGAGCTATTCTATTTTTCTTGACAGCCATATTCTAGAATATGGACTTTGGACCGTTCTGAGATATGCACTTGTAAATCGATTTTTGATCACCTCCCCAAGACCCCACACGTTACCAACTCCCTTTTGCCAAGGCTGTTTGGAAAGCTCAAGTTCCTTCAAATGCAAAGATGTTTATATGGACTGCTATTCTTCAAAGACTTAATACTAATGAGATGAATCAAATCCACAGTTCTAATCATGCTTTTTCACCTGATATTTTTGTCATGTGCCACAAAAGTGGGCAGACACATTCCCATTTATTCATATCTTGTGAGACAGCATGGAAATTGCTCACAAAGTCTGGCTTATGTTGGATTAGTCCTCCTGCAGTGGAATACTCTATGAAAGTATTTATGGGCAGGGGGTTCAGAAAGAGGGAAAGGCCCTAGGGCAAGGGACTCTTTCTGCAAGATTGTGGAAAATGACTTGAACTGAGTAGGAGAATTTTTACAACTTCTTGTTGGATCAGGAGAGATGAGAAAGATTAACTTTTCTGACCAACTTATGGGCCAAAGCTCACAGGAAATTTCCCAATCTTGCTATAACCGAAATTTATCAGAATTGGGAGGGCTATAATCTTGTGATCCACAGGATGTTTGTTTTTGGCATATTCATCTTTTTTTTTTTTTTTTTCGCATCCTCTATTTGACAATTTGAGGGGGATGTCTTATTCTACGACAGTGTATACGTTTCATAGTTTCTTAATAAAATCTTCTTTTTCTATCAAAAAGAAAAAAAAAGGCAGAAATCATATCATACGTATTTATTCCAATGTATTCAGCTCTTATAAAGTAATCGTAATAATAAATAATAACAATTCTTACGTTGGCAATTCTCAGGAAGTTGGTTGGATGCAAAGATCAATAGCTCGACATCATCAATATTTCCTTTCAGGGCTAAATCCTTCTTAATCATGCTATCCACCAGACCCTTGTAGCTCTTTTCGTAACTGCATCACAAACAAAAAATTTTTAAGAAAATACCTATTAGAAAATCAAGATGACAAATATACGAATTACAATGATCAGTTTCTTATTTCGAAAAAAAATCAAAACAATCAGTTTCAATTCTTTAGGAAAAAAAAGTAGCACATAATAATATCGATGTAGCACAACATAATAGAAAAGAAAATAGGAAAGAAATAGATAAAGGAAAATGTGCTCAACAACTATAGAATCAAACACAACCAAACCCACAGGGTTGGCAGCTACTCAAATCATTGAGTAGATGTCTATGGTTTTCTTCATAATCTCTTCTAAAAATTTTATTCATAGGCTAGTCTATATAGTCACTTACTATAAATTTTATTGATAAAAAATTATTACGGCAAGAATCATGGTACCAAAGAGTCAACAGGATCAAAATAAGAAATACAATTAAATAGAAAAAAATAGATCCAGAGTAAAAGCAGTCCTAAGGATAGAATAGGAAAGAAGTCGTATTTCTATGAAAATGCAGTTCCTAATTCTACTTGCTGGCACATCATCTATTTACCTATTGAGATCCTTGGCAAAAAAGTAAAGAGCAATGTGATCTTCTTTCGCACCACTTCCATGAAACTGTGCTGGCCATGTGCTCAAGCGAGGTACCTCATTCAAGGGAACTCTTCCAGGAAATTTGTTAACCGCTTCAGGAACTCTAGGTGATGCTAAAGTTGATAGATGTGCTTGAATTCCACCATATAAATCTGGGGGTTTACCACCTCTATGCACCTCAAAAAGTCCCCTGATGCAAACAATAGAAGCTTAAGTGAAATGCTTTTGAACATGTGGCATACAGCCAGCTATCAAGCAGAAAAGAATCAGAAAAGGATCAGGAAAACAAAAATGCAATATGCTCCATTAACAGAAAACAGATTCACAAGGAGAATGAAAGGAATCTTACTGCCAGATAAATTCATGCTCTGGTATGGCTGAGATATTTAAAATAAGAGGTATGGCTGCCAAAGAATTACTGGACCAGTCCCTTATAGTCTGTTTTGCAACAGAGGGAACATTACTATCCGAGTCCCCTAATGTGGGAGCAAACCCTGTCTCACTGGAAGGAGCAGCAAGCTGCTTCTCATTATTTGTAGCTTGTTTGTATGAATCAGAACTAAAACTCCCCTGTACTTCGTGTGTTCCTTCAGCAGGACACGAATTTTTCAGTTTATTTGAAACTGGTAAATGACCTTGAGCATCCATGCCAGGTCCAGAAAAACCATCTGACTGATCAAGTCTGTTCTTCCCAAATCCAGGCATATTGCGAACCACTTTCATTGCAGCTTTCACTTTATTACCTTTGTTCATCTCCTCTCTAGGATTTCTTGTTGCAGATATATCAGAGCCAGAACCCCACACATTGTCAGTTGGACAATTATCTACAGTATGACATACTTCTTTACATTTTTGACAAGGTAAACCTTTTGATCCAGAAATAATAGGATGCCTTAAGTGACTGATAGACCCATCCCTAGTTTTTTCAGCCTGATTTGTTGACTCCTGCAGCCGAGGTAACCCATCATCTGGGTTTCCATTAAAATTGCCGGGAGGTCTCTCAACAGTCCAAGAAGAAGTCAAAGATGGTTCATCCTTAGGGCTAATCTGGTTGAACGTTTTCTCGGAACCATTGGTAGCACCAACTGCAAAGAAAACAGTTTTATCAACTTCTTAAAGACCAAACCACATGTATTGGAAAAAAAAAAGTGAAAATAAAAAATAAATAAATAAAATGATGAAAAAAGTGCAGTTAGAATTATGATGGTATATCCCAATAAAAACTAGTATCCATACCAGAAGGAAGTGGAACTTCCACACGGTTTCGAGCTAATTTGGTCGAGGTACTTAATTTCCCATCAGAGTGTAAACCCCTTGATTCACGGTTGCTAGGCACAGATGGCAAAGAAACAGCATCACCACCACGAGGTGTTAACTTTTGATCAACTTTAGGTGTTGTCAATGAACACACATGAGAACGATCCAATTTAGCCAAATTTTTCCTTTCAAATGTACTCTTCTCTTTCATTCCCTTGGACCCTTTTAATTCATGAGTATGAGAAAAATTAGATGAAAGCATTTTTACTTTTGAATCACTGCCATTTGGACGGCCTAAAGATTTAAATGACATAGATTTGCCCATCATTCTCGCAGGACCTTCCTTTGCATTAATGGAAGAATATTCCTTAGCCCCCTTCTGTTTTTGTGGAACAACTTCATCTACAAGTTTCACTTTAGGTTTGGTATTTATGGTACTGAACGAATTGGATTTTAACAAGGTACCTGTATAAATAACACAATGCATCCATCAGCAAAACCGTCAGTGCACAACACATCCAAGTACACAAAGATTATAAGAGAGAAAACGAAAGGTTTGGTAAACATTATCTGTATGCTTACCCTTGGGTGTTTGAAGTTGTGGACCAGTTCTAGGAGAGCGTGCAGTTTCCAGAATATCGTTATTAGATAGATTAGCATAAAATAGTTGATTAGCTGGCTTTGTTTTTCCCTTATCCATGCTCTTGAACGAAGATTCCCGAGATAGCATACCAGTTTTGGTGGGGCTGGATGACTTTTGCGACCCAGTGCTAGTTTCAATAACCTGCCTTTTCATAGATGAAGCAATCTCTATATTTTCTGCAA